ATGAACCGGAAGTCTCGCACATTCACAGAAAACTTCTTACTTCCACGTTGAAAAATAAGGTGGATAACAACATCTTAGTTTTCATCCTTTTAACTTGTCGTGATAATTTCTGTCATTTCCATTTGGTTTTAAATGATTTAAGTGTAGTAAGAAAATCCCTATAGTATTTGACCTATTTAATTGGAGTCACTCATGTTCATAGTTATCTAAGCGTCATTTAACCCTCATGTTGTGTTTCAGTCATGATTTTTTCCAGTCATATAATATGTTTCACTGATCTGAGCTAATGCACATCAGTTTTTGTGTGAACATTGCCAAAATTGTCCACAAATAATGCTTTTTTCATTCAAAATCCGAGGTGCATAAACTCAATGAGTTTCAATGAGGCCTATGAGCTATCAGTTCCAAAAAAAGACATACAAACCTGTGCTAACTGAAAGAAAACATGTTGACAAAAAAATGTAATCCAAGATTTGGTGATAATATAGCATAATAAGAGATTTTTAAAAGACCGGTCATTTCTGACCAGGAAGGTCAGCACAACACAATAACTAATTAAATCATATCTTTCAATTAAATGTCTGTGCATGTGATTGGCAGGTGCTGGCAGAAATGTGTCAAAGTGGATATAAAGACGCCCTCCGATTTCTCCAGGAAAACAGTGAGCACTTTTTATCTTTCGTGTCACTTTATCTCTAATGTTCATTCATGCGTTATGCCAAATGTGATATGTGCTGTGGTTTAGAAGATAACGGTCATGTCTCTTTATAGATTTGCTACAGGCGGCATGTCCAAGAGCAGACATGGCTCTGATTCAGACCACGCCCACCTGCTGCTGCCCAGGCAATAGGAATCCAGTCGTGATGGAAACCAGAAAAGAGTGGGTGCTGCGGAGACTCCGCCTCTTGAGAAAACACCACTGGTGGTTGGACGAGCAGCTTGTCAATAACCTGCCAACCCCCATTAAGAAAGGTAGAGTTATACTTAAATGTACTTTTAAAGCTGATGAATGTACTTTATAATGTGACTATTTCATACTCTACTATGTGCATGTGTTTGCAGTTTTTTGCGACGCCTGCAGAGAAAAGCACGGTCTACTGGCTCAGGTGACTGGTTTGCTGCCACTGCGTGTGGCGTCCTACATGCTGATGCCGTACACGCTGCCAGTGGAGTCAGTGTACTCTGCAGCTCAGAGGTCAATATCATCATTTAACATTTGCTCATCAGAACGACAGAATTATTCTATTAATCGCACTTTTAATACACTACCATTCCAAAGTTTGGGGTTAGTAATATTTTTAAATGTTATTTTTAATCCTTCTGTTTAGCAAGGTTGCATTCAATTATTCAAAAGGGACAGTAAAGACGTTTATAATGTTACAAACTATTAATATTTCAAATAAATGCTGTTCTTTTGAACTTTCTATTCAAGGAATCCTGAAAAAATGTATTATAGTTTGCAGAAAAACATTAAGCAGCACAACTGTAAATATTTGTGTGGATGTCACAATGTTGTATCCGGATGAGTTTTTAATTACAGCATTGTTTGTGTTTGAAAGGTTTTGGGAATGGATCCCAGAAGTCCCTGCAGATGTGCGCTGGCTTGCTGAGGTAGCAGGCGGTGTTTATAGACAGACATGGAAAGGTGCAGCGTCAGAGACGAGCTGGTAAAATCCCTCAGGAATCATTCAAGACAACTAAAATGAAAATATGCTGAATATGTACTCTACCTCAAGCCATCCAAGATTTAGTTGAGTTTGTTACTTCATCAGAACCGATTTGGAGAAATTTAGCATTACATCTCTTGCTCACCATTGATCCAGAGGATCCCTCTGCAGTGAATGGGTGCCGTCAGAATGAGAGTCCAAACCGCTGATAAAAACATCACAATAATCCACAAGTAATCCAAACAGTCCATTACTTAAATATGCTCAGATCAGCTGTTCGAACTCTCATTCTGACGGCACCCACAATATAATTTAATGCTGAAAATCTAGATGATACTACACAGCAATCTAAAATTGAAAAATCTGATACGTTTATTAATTTACTGTTTGACATAGATACATGAAAGATACTTTATACCTAGAGTCTAATAAGCAATAGGAGATCAATGTTTTTCCACAAAACAGCCAAAATCAAAATGCCTTCTTGTTTATTGTGCAGCGGCGCCCCCTTGAGAAGATGTGTGAGTGAGCCGCCAGTGGTAGATTTACAGATGCCTGTCACAAACTACAATGGACACATACCTCATTCTGCCAGCAACCTTGATAGTTACAACTGGACTTTTCCGGGTGACTTCAATGCAGCTGCTTCTGTCGACTCACCGGACAGTCCTATCGACACCAGCACCTCCCCAAGGCAGATGTGCTTTTTTGGTGGCTCACAAAGTAATCATGAGAAGCAAATGGACCAATGCAGGACCTTTTCGGCTTAGCACAATATATACTGTGCCTGATTGCCCTGGTCGTACATGTCATGCTGCAAATTTAGGCAGTTGGAGAGATGAGCTTGGGTAGTTTAACGCTCTGGAATCCAGCGTCGAGAGTAAATATATACGTCCTGTCAAACACCCCTCCTGTGACATTTTGGACATTATCCAAATGTGCCTTTCTTCTCCATTCAGAACCAAAGATGTGTTTGATCTGTTGTGTCAGCCTGTACCTTGTGTTTTGCTGATGTGGACACTGATTGTATGTTAGAGTTTACTTTACAATTGGTGCTAATACTTCTCTGAGACCTCAAAATACTTGACATGAGCCATACAAGTTAATGCCACGAAGGTGTACAATCAAATAAAGAGTCTGAGCCCATGAAACTTGCTTTTGATTTCATATAACATGCTTTATAGAGAATGTTTGTCATCCATTCACACCCCATCACAGCACTTCCTTGGCAAATAGTGACTTTTTTAAAGAAAAATGGTACTGAAAAAATGATAAAATACTAAGTACATGATATAATGTACTTCTGTTGTATCTAACAATTGAAGACACTTTTAGGGGAAATATATTTTAGTAATTATATATTTGCATGCATGGAAAAGCTTGGTCATTCTGTGCTACAAACTCAGAGTGTGCACAATTACAGTTAAGTACAACATTTTTATTTTAAGTGATTTAATGTAAAAACTATCAACATTTCAGTATCAAAGATATTGATTATTTGTAAGATAAGTAAAAAAGGACCTTCACATAAATCTATTACGCAGATTTCTGAAATACTTTATTCTGATTGGTCAATCGCAGCAGGTGAACTATTTAATGACCTAATGACTGGTGCTACTTTTACTCTGCGTCTGGTATCAATCCGCGTTCTCCTTGTGCAAAAAAAAATAGTCTCGGGTGAGTTTAGGATTGATTTTTTTTTATACATATTGTAAGCACAAAACGTTTAATAGATAAACAGAAACTCAGGTGTCTCCACTTATGCTCAGACTCTATTATGCTATTTTGCAGCAAAGATATGACACAGATATGACACTAAAACTGTGTTGAATACATTAGCACAGGTATTGAGGAAATAATTGTATTAACATTTATTAAGAACATTAAGAACGTACCAAACGTGTTTTATTTGCAGCTTCATAGTTCGCATCTGACTCTGCTGCAAAGTGAAGTAAAATAGTAAAAATAACAATACAACATATACGGAAATTAAACTTGACAGTAAATGAGACGCGCTGGCCCTTTAACCCTGTTTCCCATGATGCACCGCTGCACGGTTCACATGTGAGTGAGTTGTCAGAAAGAAAACTAGCAAAGATGCAGAACGGCAATGTGAACGGCGAAGAGGATGAAGAGTATCAGCTCTTCCTCTCTCAACACAGTCCCGCTTTAAAGGCGGCGAGAATCCCTCCGCTTTACTGGAAGAGTCTGCATTTAAAACTTGCCAGTGAGGTAAATACACAGCCATCACTGCTGTGCCAGTTTGACAGTGTCTTCCTTTTGTGACAATTGAAATATTAATTAAGATGTAAAAAAAAAAAAATTCTTTAAATAATAGTCAGCCGTCTTCAAAATACAAGACTTACTGTTCTATGTATAAAACCAGGTAACGTTACTCCAGTGTTGATTGAACTAGTATGGACAGGTAAATTTATCGACTCGTTTTCTCTTTTAGGTATTTGATGCTGGCGATGTGTTTGGGATCATGCAGGTGGAAGAAGAGGATGAGGATGAAGAGAATGAACGGAGAGTCAATCCTGGAGATGAGGTGGCTTGTAAAGTGATTGTGACCAGAGAGAGTGGCCTGCGGGCTGCTGATCCTACCAGGTGAGGGCAGCAGTGAGCCATTAGTCAGGCAGTCGAGTGTCCTTATAGGAAGCATTTTAGTAGGTTTGTAATGATAAAAGGGTAAAGGAAAAATATCTGATATATAGGTTTTCTGACGTATGCTGGGGAAGTTTTTGGGTTACTAAAGAGGAAGGTCAAGGTACATTGAACATCCTTACTGGGGACTGCAGATGGAGAGGAAACACATGACCTGAAGCCTTTGGTGGTCTAGGTGTCTTATGTCAGATGGGTTTTTACCACATTAATGACAATTCAGTTTCATTATTGGGTGAATGATGCACAATGTGCAATGGATGGAAGTGAAAACTACAAATACGTTCACAAATAACAGTAATAAACAGCCACTACACATAGCACATGGCTCATTTGGCACATAGCATTCTGTGGTATTGCCATGGCATATATGTATATATGTATATGTATATGTATGTGTGTGTGTGTGTGTGTAAAACCGGGTATTACCATGGTACATGTTCAAAAATATGTGAAAAATATATGTAATTTTTCTCTCTTTTGGTTTGTAGTGTATTTCTTGTAGATCACGCATGGACGTATAGGGTGGAAAGCGCCCGGCAGCAGCTGCTGGAGATTCCTGGCCTGCTGATCCGGATGGCCAGTCTGATGGGTTTGCCTTTTCACGGAGAGGCTCCTGATCCAGACATCGTGGATCTGGTCCTGGACAACATGTGGAAATACAATCAAACCTATCAGCTTTCCCAGGGGGTAAGAGAAGGAGAAAATCATATTAAAGGAATATTTCGCCCCAAAATTAATATTTGCTGAAAATGTACTCATTGTCATGCCATCCAAGATGTAAATGAGTTTCTTCATCAGAACACATGTGGAGAAATATATCATGACATCTCTCATAAGTGGATCCTCTGCAGTGAATGGGTGCCGTCAGAATGAGAGTCCAAACAGCTGATAAAAACATCACAATACTCCACAAGTAATCCACACAACTACAATCCATCAGTTAACATCTTGTGAAGTGAAAAGCTGTGTGTTTGAAATGAACAGATTCATCAAGGCATTTCTAACGTCAAACCATTGCTTCCATCTAAAATACGGAAAATACAGAGTCTTTTATCCATAATATTGCTTTGTCCAGTGAAAAAGTAATCTCATCTAGGACAGAAATGTGCACAGATTCAGCACTGTTTACAAGAGAAAACAGTCCAAAACATTTCTCAACAAATATATCAATGGATTTTGATGTGAGAGGACAACATGGGGTGGACTTTTTTTCACTGGAGGAAGCGTTATTATGAATTATGTACTGGTATTTTAGCCAAAAGGGATGGTTTCACGTTAAAATGCTTTAACGATGGTTTTGTTTCTTAGAAACACACACTGGAGTCGTGTGGATTATTGTAATGTTTTTATCAGCTTTAGACTTTCATTCTGACGGCACCCATTCACTGCAGAGGATCCAATGGTGAGCAAGTGATGTAATGCCAAATTTCTCCAAATCTGTTCTAACGAAGAAACTCATCTACATCTTGGATGATATGAGGCAGAGTGCATTTTCAGCAAATTATCATCTTTGGGTGAACTATTTCTTTAATATGCCAGTGTGCATTATGAGATATGATGTTGCTGCTGAATTTGGTTTGATGAAAATGACGATGTTGCAGTCTGCAGAAGAAAAGGTTCCTGTGTGGTACATCATGGATGAATTTGGATCTCAGGTTCAGCACTCTTCCCAGCCAACTTGCTGTATGGCTCCTCTGTTCTACGCTCCACAACAGATCGCTTACTCAGTGCTGTGGCCACTGCAAGACCTGGAGAATGGAGGTATGCACAAAAAAATACATGTGTAACAGAGCCTGAAGTAATTTTCAGAGCACCACAGCTTTCAGGTACATTTTAATATAAATGTAATGTTGTGAAAGGACAGATATCAAATACAGACACCCTGAATACGCTACCCAGAATATATAAATGTCTTTTCCAAAATACATTTGACATTTATGACATGTAGTGTGAACACATTGTTCAGTTGTTTTTTCTTTTTTCTTTTAATGAATCAGTCAAACTTGTTGCCGAATTATTCTGAATCAAAAACATATAGTGTCTGAATCATCAAATAGAGTGCAAGTCTAAAAGTTTTATTTTTATAAAGAATAGAATTAGAATAGAGAGTGCTAGAGTTAGAGGGTCAAATAAAGATGGAATAGATGTGTTTTTAGCCGATTCTTGAAGATGGACTGCTCGGACTGAGTTGGGCAGGTCATTCCACCAGGAGGTAACATTTAATTTAAAAGTCCGTGAAAGTGATTTTGTGCCTCTTTGGGATGGCACAATAAAGCGATGTTCACTTACAGAACGCAAGCTTTAGAGGGCACATAAATCTGAAGTAATGAATTTAGGTGGTGGTTTTCTAGGTAAACATTAATGCCTTGAATTTTATGCAAGCAGCTATTGTATCTATCTGTATTTATGTTCTACTGTTAGTGTTATCTGTATGCACCAAGCTGTGAGTGCAGGTACAACTGCAGGAGAAATTGCTTGAAGGAGATGAGATGGAATAGGATCAAGCGGACAAGTAGTAGGATGATTAGAAAGCAGTTTAAGTCACTTCCGTGTTGGCTTCACGAGAGAGAGCGGGAGGTTGCCGCTTGGCGCCACACCCTTTCAGCAGCCCTGAGCTTAGAACATGCTTGTGGAGAACATCAGACAGCCAAGGGGCAGAAGGGGTGGTATACATTGTTTTTTTTATTTTATGAATTGGCTCTGCTCTCGCTCAGATATTGCATGTACACGCTCAAACGTTGTCCTCGCATCACTGAAGACTAGAAGAGCTTTTTTTTTCTAATTCAGGTGAAGAGTATAGCCTAGGCCAGTGGTTCTCAAACCTGTCCTGGAGTACCCCCAGCCCTGCACATTTTGTATGTCTCCCTCATCTATCACACCTGATTCAACTCATCAGCTCATTAGTGGTGACGGCAAGACCTGAAGTGGGTGTATCAGATATAGGGAGACATACAAATTGTGCAGTGCGGATGTCATTCCCGAAACTTTGCAACGTGTGTGTGGCCAAAAAACAAAGTTCTACATTTTAAATGGATTATTGCCTAGAAAGCTCGCAAAGAGCGCTCCTTTTTTAACCACTAAAAACTGTCACTCTTTGTTCATCGCGATCTCACAAAGTTCTGTTATGACCAATGAATCTCACACTGCGCAATTAATACATTAATAACATCGTCGTGTATACACTATAAGATTTGATTGTGATCAGCACAGAACAAAAACTGGTGTGTGTCGCAGCCTTTAGGTAAACCAGCATACATTCATGAGGATGATGAAAGTGTTTTAACTTGAGTAAAGCCTTAAACCATTCCCCTAAAGCTAAAATCTTCACTGCTCTAATTGGGAGAATACAAGTCTTGCTATGTTAACGGTACAACAGACCAAATACTGTGTATGGCATGAAAAATCTAACAATCCTTCATATCCAAGTCCTCTGCCAAAGCAGCAGACAGAACACAGGCAGTGTTGCCTGCGCATTTCCTTAAATAGGTTATATTATATTCTAACCAACACTGTTCTCTAGTGGCAACAAGTCTGTTGTACTGATATTGATATATTTGATTTGGTTTGGTAATGATGTTTTTAGTTTTTAAAGGTGAAACCACAAGTTTTGCCACATATTCGGATATGTCAGGAATTTCTTGTGTTAAGTACTGTTTACCTCTGATATTAACTTTTGTTAACGGTTTATATAATCACTTAATGCATCTCACTCCTTTTTAATTGGTTCCTTCCAATCTTCTGCTTCTGTACCCATTGAGACTAAGTACTCCAACACACATCTCCACAATCCAAAAATCCGATTCCAAATCAAAAAGATTTGTTCTCAACTTCAGATTGAGAGCGCTGCCCATTGGTTAGAAATTCGAGGGGGGGGTCTGTGCCAAACTCAGTCAGGTCCGGATGCTCTTGAGGCTTGATGGAATTAATATTCAGGTTCAGATAATGGGTTATGAAGAATAAATCTACTCTGAGACTTTTTTAGAGAAGATTAACGCATCACCATGAAATGGCTTCGCTTTAATAAACAATTGTCAGAATCAGATCATTCAACGTAACAAGCGAGAGAAGTCTTCACCACGAGGTTCAGCCCCGTTCTCTCTCAAACTTAACATTTTATAGTCTGCCTGGGTGACAAGGAAACTTACCTATAAAGGCACAAGTCAAGCTCGGCACACTTCTTCCTCTTTCAGCATCCTGCAGTACAGTTTTGTTACTAAGCGGAAGATACATACATTTTTGCTGCATCTGTAACATCTTTCTATTGCACAAGAGAGAGAGATATACATGACCTTTGCTCTACTTCTACATGGTACAATTTACTGCACAAATATAACAAATTAAGCCAGAGCAAAGCACACTTACAAACTAAATAAGATATCTGTCTAGCAATATATCAGTCAATTCTATATGATATTGTTATTTATAGAGAAGCTATACAAGTTTTACAAGTTCAAAGCGTCAACCTCGCCTGATAAAATTTCCATTTGGAAATAAAATCCCCAATGTACAATCTTCTTTTTTTTACCATTTTCAGTAATCTTTTATGTATTCTCTTTTGCTGTCTAATTAATCTTCTTCCTTCAGAGATGATCTCCTCTTGATTGTGTTCCGTCTCTCCTTCTTCCCCTCTTGCTCCTTCTACCCTCTCTTGGACTCGATCTGTCAATCCCTCAATTATAAAAACCCCAATTTCACTAACCTGCTCAAACATATTAGAGGTTTCGGGAACACTCTATAGGTTCTTCAGCAGTTCCATTGTAAGTTCCATTTATCGATCCGTTGGATGCCATTCTACTTCTATCAATTTGGATCTCTGTAGGTCTTATTCAGGAACAAGTGTTCTCTATTATTTTTCCTTTTCTCAGTACCCCGTATTTTTCTTCTGTCGACCTGTTAAACTGTCAAACTGTCAACAGACTGTTGAACTACCACACAGTCATACTGTTGACAAACTGTCGTCAAACTGTCGAGAGTCAAACTGGTCTTTTGTGGTTTACTACTATCTTTAACTCTCTTATACCTTTGGGTCCTCCTACTCCCCTTTATTTGGAAATTCAACAATTTTTCTAATACGGCTAGTTCATCGGGTCTCTTCTCTGGTCTAGAGCAGATCCGTCTTCCAGCCGCTGCACATAGGCATTTTATCCTTATAAATAATAATGTTAAGCCTATTATGATCAAACCTGCATATAACACATGCCATCCCATATTGATTAAGAAGCCAACTACTCCATCCCACATGTCTTTGGTTATGACGTTAACAACCGCGGTTGCTGCTGTCTTTATTCCCTTAATGCCTGTTTCAATTAACTCTTTCGGCTCCTCATACCATCTCGGTCCACTAGTACTTGCTTCTATTTCAGTGCTGGTATTGCATATGATATCTTTCATTCAATCTAATCCTAAATAATACGTTTTATCTTGTCCCTTACACCAGTCCTTTTTCCAATGTTTTCAGTCTATTGTATTGCTTAAATCATCTATAACTATAGCGTCCAGTTTTGATAAGGTCGCTTTCTCTTCTCCATAGGTGGTTTCATATCTCAATTTACTATTTTCTCCTATATGGGCAGGCCCGTGAAATAATTTCCATTTTCTGTTTCGATCTACCACCCTTAAGCTCCTCCTGGTCCATAGGTCATCTCATACCTGTTTGCCATACCACCTAAATGTCTAAGGTAGCGGGACTATTCCCGTGGTCCCCAGAACTGCAGACATTTGATTAATGGTTATATAATCCTGTCCTTCTGAACAACTTTTAATTAATTCTCCACATTCTGTTCCTGTTAATCCATATATTTCTTCATCATAAAAAATCAAACTTTGTCTATAGATGCCTTCATTATCTTTTTTCCTTTTTATGCCTAGCCTTTTCATGAACAATTTCCTTTTTACACTTAAAGTTTCTCTCGTTTGATTCCCTGTTATAGGGTCAGTGCCGTTCACCAGGTCACTACAGTCCATTTTCTCTCTGTCTTTATCACATAGGCTAACATAAGAGAGATCATTATTGTCACTTTTCGTATAGCAATCTATGGAATTTGATCTATGGAATTTGATGCGACGCTGCATGTATTTGTTCATAAAATACTATTAAATTTGAAATATTATGGAATGTTATTACTATTTAAAATAGCTGTTTTTATGTTTTAAAATATGTAATTGAAAATGTATCTAAAATGTATTATCATTATTATTATCAATGTAAACAACAGTGATTTTTGTGGAAACAGTGATACATTTTTCAGGATTCTTTGAATAGAAAGTTTGAAATTCATTTGAAATAATAGAAAACTTTTGTAACATTATAAATGTCTTTATTTAATGCATTCTTGATGAATAAAAGTATTAATTTCTTTAAAAGAAATGTGACCCCACACTTTTGAAGGTTAGTGTACATTACAGGCTTTCAATGATAAGTTTATGTAGAAATGATAAATCTGGCTGTTTTTAAATGATACAGTGAATAAGAAAACAATCTCCTTTTGATCACTATTGTCAGGTCTGAAGTGAAGATCTACAATTGATTTCTTACGTCTTCAACAGGAAGATAACTCTTTAATCACTGCATGCTTTAATGAACAGATACTACACCTCATTCTTTTTATGTCTTGAATGACAAGATCAAATAGATACTTATCTATCTGTCCTGAAAACTCCACAGGGAACAAAGGGGATTACACCACAGGCTGCACCCCCCATGGAAACGAGTGTGTTTCACATGTCTGCGCATGATGATGCAAGACAGATCAAAGATGCTCCATTAGACAGGTGTTAATATCAGATGTTAACAGGGCACTTATCACTTGAAAGTTTGCAGTCTATAGGACTCAAGTTCTTACACCCCACAGAAAACAAAGGAGGTTATCGTTCACACCATCTTGCAAGTCATTTACTGCTTGGCTACTTATCACATAGCAGTTAGTGTGTTCATTTGATCCTGATAAGTCCTTGTCCCTGTGAAGCCTGGCATATGAAATAATAGTCAGGGGAAAAAATACTGATAATTACCACGAAGCAAAATGAAATAGTTTGTAATAGTAAATCAATGAGATCTTCATAATAGTATGGTAAAATCCTGATACTTGAATTTAGATGCAGTTAGATCCAGCCAGATGAGAAAATGATATCAAAGATTAGTTTACTGTTTAAGGAATAACATTTTAATAAAATAAGAAGTAAATTAATTTTTAATAAAGCTGAGAATATTGAGAAAGATGACAATGGAAATGTATTGTTAATTATCTGGTTATGGTGTTTAGAAGAGAACGTAATCAGCAGGGTCCTGAAAACTGCAGAATGCTGAATATCGAACTCTAGTGAATAATTTAGTTTTTATCAGTACATCTACAAGCCAAAGATAGAGAGGGAAAGTTCCTTTGAGGCTCCTCTGACCTATGTTGAATTTATATATTGCTCACCACCCTACATAGTTCATACAACATACAATAACATGAAAGCTTGTTTGACACATTTATATCTCTGATATTCTGAGAAAAAACATCAGAATTGTGAAATTTAAACTCACAGTTGTGAGGTAAAAAGTTAGAATTGTGTGAAAAAAAGTTGCAATTGCCTTTTTATTCTGTGGCGAAATAAAAAAACAGAATTGTGAGATATAAACACAGAATTGCAAAAGCTAAACTCAAAATTGTGAGAGTCAGAATTCTGAGTTTATATTTCGCAATTCATACTTGTTTTCTGTCAGGATTGTATGCTAAAAAGTCACAATTACTTTTTTTTATTTTATTATTTTTTATACCATGGCATAAATGGGTTTCCATGTTAACAGGTGAAGGTGATTGATAATTTGCAGCAGATCTGAGCAAATAGTTTCTTGTGGTTTTATATGAGATACCTTTGATGTGAGATAGCAGATCATGCATTACCTCATGTCTGCAGAAACACAATTTTGCATGTTGTTGTAGAATTTTCCTTGTTCAAAATAAATTCAAAGAGGTTTTGAAGCCAGTAAGACTTTATTGATCACAACAAAGTCGAAGTACAGTTTGCAAAGACTTCAGAATGTCTGTTTCACACTTTTATATATATATATATA